CACGACTATGGACGGTGGTGGATATTTTACATTTAGGTAAGTAAATGGTCTTTCAAAATCGATCGAATCAACGTAATTACATGATAAATTGAGAAGCGAAAATTTGGGAGTATTCGAAATGACCCAACTTTTGCTCATTTTCTTGTGTTCATTTTGAAGTTTAATTTAGAATATACAATTTTATATCGTATTTATACGCATCTATTTTACAGAGTATATTACAATGGAAACCATGGTAAAGAGCAGTTATGTTTTAACCCTTGTGAGACATTTAAATTAGTATTATATATAATACTAAAACTATTATTTAGTATTATATTCCAAATGTTAATAACATTTCAATCAGCACGAAAGTTTACTGTGATTTACGTGAAGGCAATACCGTTGGAATAACTGGAATTATCTCCGGCACCAGGAAATGAAATATAAACACCAGTCAATAATTAACGACGCTTATTTAATATTAAATTTTCAACTTCATCGAAATATGAAAATGTTATTTTATTAATTAATAAAAACTCTCATATTCCTCGATGAGTTAAGTTGGATATCAAAATTGATATTTGATTAATTAAGGCAGCTGAACAATTAAACATGCAATAACTACATTTATATGTATAACATTTGTAAGGGCTTTATTTCACTAACAATGTATATAGGTAGTAGAGTGCATATGCATTGGATATACCTAAAGCATACCTATACTATACATAATATTCGTTAAGTCTTGTTATTGAATTTTAAAGTACTAAGTTATTGTCAACAAATTTCCCATACGAGTTTAGTTTAAATGACAATCAATGGTTAATTATGTTTCATTATTTTAAATCTAATATGGCGGATTATATAAGATGGCGGCTTAGTTATTAGCAGACGAGTATATCTATCTACATCTTAACACTGTATTTTATATGGGTATCAATGGAAGGGTTCGCTAATGATCTTACAAAACTAAAAAAGAAATAACTCGGTCTTCTGAAATAATGCAAAAGCCTGAGTACCTCTATCTGGAAGATCCCCGGTGCTCCGAAACATACCTATTTGGCATCATCTTATTCTGAAGAACGATGAAATTGTTTAGCACAATTATTTCAAATAATTTTTATTTTATTGAATCTCTAATGCGCTTTGTTCAATGCTGTATTTTTACAGAATAGCAAAGCAGCTTTAATATGCCAGAGAGCCAACTTCTTTCCTTTTATTATGGCTTAATTTTTTTTTTATAATTGCAACACTTCTAACCAGTACTAAGGTTTTATTTAGGCTAATGATAAAATAGAGATTAGACCATTTGATCATGAATTGACAGTTCAACCTTAAACTTATAGATATTACTCAAGCTTTTTTGGTCGAACCCTAGCCTATGAGTTTTATCTATTCCTATCACTTTTATCATGATTTTTAGACAATGATGTAGATTTTATTGTTTTCGATGGATCCACTAAATCACTCAAACTGAACGGATAACATTGAAAGAAAGAGTCTATATAAGATTTATATATATATTTTTTTGGCAAACTTGATGAATTTATTTTATTACATTATTTCATGACAATATTTTTTAATTAATCAATTATTACATTTTTAGTAGTCAAAAAAAAAATCCACTTTATTTTAAAACTTACTTCTTTGAGGGTAGAGTTTAAATCAACTGGAGAATTACATATTGAGGTAACATGATGTGCCACAGTGTACACCTATATATTAAAAAAAAACTGAGTGTAGAAACTTGCACAATGTAAAATAAATATATTATATACGAACGTGTAACTTTTTCACTTTCATTTGATTCAACTGAGTCAATACTTATATGTATTTTGTACTTACATAGAACTAAAAGGAAATTGTAGGTTTCTATATCGAATGTGCTTAGTGGAGCTATTGGAGCCTGACTAATTATAACTTTGTACAAAGTAAACCTGCAGGTTTTCTAGTTAGATACATGCAGAGTATGTTGATCGTTCTTAGTGCAACGATTCGAGCATACACTAATTATAACTTTAAACAAAATATATATTTTAGTGTAGGTACTACAAAGTTATGGATTAGTGTTGTTTTGTTATACAGTATATTTAAAGACAGGACTGTACACATCACTAGCATGTTGCTTAAGGCTGTGACGGGTTCGATGCTTGGGCGAATTAATGAAAGTCTGACTAAGCTTGAGAATTAATTTATTTTATTTAGACATTCTTAAAGAGCATATTGAATTAGTCAAAATTTCAAATTACGGAAGGTGAATAATAAAAAGAAATGATGTTGAATATCAAATACAAAAAGCTTGCATGCTGTAACCTAGGACGAAATAAACAGTGGTACGGCACACCGTTACAGGGCTAGCCGTAAGGACAAAATACTGTCCCAACGTGGTTTTGCGTGTTAAAACTATTTTTAATTATTTACTCGTAAACCATTAATATTATTGCAAAGGCCTTGCATGTAGCTCTTAGCTAAATATTTTATCATGATAAATTAAACTTTCTTTAGTCGAGGGTAATTTTTAAAATTAAATTGCAAGATTTAATCATACAGTATGGATATTGCAAGTTAAATAAAAGCATGTAATGAAAGTTTTCGTACACGTACCACTGCTTAAGACTACTAAGCACTCCTCATTATCTGTTCCTTTCTCCCCTCGTTGAAAACGAAACAAGGTAAATGGGTGTTTTAAAAATTACATATTTATTAAAACGAGTTAATTCATTAGGCACATTAGGATATAACTTATATAATATATATTTAAAAAATATATATGTATGTAAAAAAAAAGAAAGGTGGCGTAGCGTGCCTCTATCAAAATTGGTTGGCGGGCCCGAATAAAAGGTAATATTTTGCTTATATGTAATAGGCCTATATAGTCCAACGGCCCCGTATGGGGCTGGTAGCTACGGTCCTGGTTATATATAAAATTCACTCTGAGATAGTAGTAAAACCTTACTGTTGTACTAGTTTTTTTTTAATAAAGGATCTTAGATAATGTTTTACCTAAACATGAACCGAATGAGAACAAAACTTGGGTCAGCAATAAAACTCCTAATGAATCTAATAAAGCACCATAAAGCTCATTGAATGTATCTAACACCAATAACTTTTAGATTTCATGTAGGACGACTCGCAGGAGAGCGCATTCCGTAACTACAACTTTATATGCGAATAAACCGGTTCTATTGGAGCGCAGAGGGCTCACATAACTTTGTGTAACTTGAGTAGCTCTACTCTAACGATCCTGTTAAATCGTGAAATCACTTACTTATTTGTTCACTAAAGTTGCATGCACCACGTATGTATAAAGTAAGCTTTTGCCGTATGTTAAAACATATTATCAAAAAGTGTTTTCTCAAAGTCGTCGGCATCAGGGGTTTAAAATATATTTTGTATCTATTTCTATTTTGTAACCTACCTGCAATACGAGATCACACCTTTTGTTTTTGTTACTAAAAAAATCTTTCCTCTTTATAATACATATTAGTTAGGTTAGGGCATGATTATGTCAATTTTAATATTTATGAGGAAGTGAATTTTGACACATCGCAGCTGTTAACGGTATTAGTATTTTTATTATATAAGGGCTGAGTTGCACAAACATCCGATAAGGTTCTATGACGACTTTAAGCTTAACGCCTTAATTTGAAAATTTGTATTCATCTATACAAATTTTCAAATTAAGGCTTTAAAGTAATGCCGCTTTAAAGTAATGACAAATTTAATAGACCTTTCTACAACTAGATTTGCCTTTCCCAAAGTGGGCGATAACAGTGCAGGTCTAAAGAGGGGCGTTAAGAGGCCGAGAAAAAGACATCAGCTTTGTGTTACTAATGACGAGGTTTTGTTTGTTGTTTCATACTGAAGTTCGTTGGCTATCAAGAGGCAATTGTCTGACTCAATTTTACAGCTTGTTTAACTCTGTGATTGAGTTCTTGGTAAAATAAAGATACAGAATTGTACAACAAGTTCATTACATCAAAGAATTATATAGCTTACATGACAGAACTGTACAAATTGTTCAACGACATTAATGTCCAACTGCAAAGCGATGAACTAAATTTAATTAAAATAAAAAACATCGTTGCTGCTTGCATAGTCAAACTGCTTCTACACAAAAAGAAGGGGTCTATGGGTAGACGTAAGTTTCACAATTTTCTGAGTTTATCGAAACCCTGCAGTAACGACGATTTATTTCCTTACTGGCAACATTTGGAAAACCTCCTTATTGACTTCAACGAATATTAACGGGTATTTCCATACCAGACTGGGTGTTGGATACGTTCTCAAATGCACTGCTGGAGGAAGAACTGATATAATTGACAACAACGAGTAAATAAAAATCAAGTCCAAAAAGTGTAACCAAGAATTTTGGCTACAAAAACCGATCCCGCAATTGTAGTCTGGATTGTGGTCAATCGTTCAAAGATTCCTGATAGCATTCCCATCATTATATTGATAGCATTCACAACTATTCTTGATAGCATTACAGAACGTGGCGACTTGCAACTGTTCTTGAGTAAATTGGAACCTGATATCAACAGGGTTTATTAAACAGTGTCAGATTCATCCTTCACATTAGTTTTAATTTAAGAATCAATTATGTGTGTTATATTTTGAATAAAAATACTTTGTTTGAATATTATAAAGTTGCGTTTCAATCATCATTTTTATTGTCAGGTGTAGCCCGTAAGAGTTCACTTGAGACCTGAGCGCCGTTATGTATTACCAACTGCGCTCAGATTTTAAGTTAACTCTTGCGAGTTTAAAAGTCTCGTTTAAAATTAATGTTTAATCTCTGCTACATTAATTAATAACTTAAATAAATTTTGGGAACCCCTGAACTTTGCGTTAGGCAGAACGCCGTGAAGTGTCAAATGGCCTAAAAGAGGGCGGTGGTCGAATCCTGGTCTTCTGTCATATAGCTTAAGTTTCAATTTATTTTTCTTAAGTCAGTTATAGTTTTATTGAAATAAACTAGCAAATAATGTAATAAAAGAAATAATATTTGTTTCCAGGGACGTACGGTTCAACAAGATCGTGGTGATCAAACCTCTAACATTCGTTAATCTGCGGATGCTGCGCTCGTTACTTCTCAACGACAACCAGATTAGGGAGCTTATTTCTGGCACATTCGCTGGACTCAGACGACTCAAGTTTTTGTACTTGTACCGAAACCGAATCAACCATGTCGACGAAGATGTATTTAATGCGCTACCACACTTAGAGCAACTGTAAGTTAAAATTATGTACGAACACAGTTATTGTAATAGACATTCACCCAGTTGCACATACCTACATTTGTTTAGTGACGACTTTAAGCTCTAATGAATGTTCTAGAAACTTTATATGTCACTTTAATTTAATGGACAATTGGGTGTTTATCTAACTACTAGTGGACGCCCGCGACTTCGTCCGCGTGGAAGTCGGTATCCCGTGGGAGTGAGAAGTTTTCCCAGTAAAAAGTACCCTATGTGTTATTCTGATGTATAACCTATATTGCTGTAAAGTTTTATCCAAATCCGTCCAGTAGTTTTTTCGTGAAAGAGTAACAAACATCCATACATCCATACTTACAAACTTTCGCCTTTATAATATTAATAGGATAGGATTTATCTATAGATATAAAATTCTTGCGTTACTGAGTGACTGAATGATTGACTGACTGACTGACTGACAGGCAACGTATAGAGGAAACTACTGATCGTAGAAAGTTGAAATTTGGGATGAAGATTTCTTAGGGAGTGTAGAGGAGCACTAAGAGGGATGGACGTTTGTATGAAACTTTGTTTGTACAAGTGTTAGGAGTTTCAAATTTTGCATGCGGTTTCTTTTTAGGACGTAGGTGCTCAATTAGACGGGATTTTATAAAATTCGATCCCTAAGGAGGGTAAATTAGGAGATGAAAGTTTTTATGGATTTTTTCAATTTCTAGACTTAATACTAGACCATGCTGGCGAAGTCGCGGGCAAAAGCTAATGTATTCAAAAACAAGGACCATTTTATATCTGATTAACTAATATTTCAAAATTATTGTTTTTATGATTATGTAAAGTATTTGTCCATTATAACCTTTTAGTACTTTTCTAGTCATGATCCATGCAATAAATAGGGAATTTAAAATATGATAATTCGTACATAAATTTGTAACGTATCACAGATTCGTTATAGTTACTAAAAATTCAACTGAATATATTATAACATTAATAGAAATATAATTTTAATTAAACCTACGTGGAAACCAATACTAAGCATTCCTTTCTGGATTCCATAATACCTTTAGTCTATCAAATCAATCCAGAATTCAAGCGTATTCAAGCGTAGAATTCACGTTCAAATTAGTACTAGGTATTCGTTTCAGTAGCGCAATGATGCCGAACAATTTAATGCTGAATACATATCTCTGTTCCGCTTATGATTGTCCACATATTATACGTTACATTCATCATTTCCAGGTATCTGCAAGTCAATGAAATCCATCAAATAGACCCACAAACATTTACGAATATGCCACGATTGCAACGCCTGTAAGTTGTTTGATGAATGATTAAGTTTGAATATTTTTAAATAGTTCTGTTTATAATACAATTATTTAGAGTAGCATAATTTAGGAGCTTAGGTACATGAGAATTTTGTATCTCGAATTCCTTCGTGTTTCGGAAGGCACGTTAAGCCGTTGCCCCGGCTGCACCTGCAATAGTTAATACCCACCAATCCGCATTTGGCACGCATTTGGTGGGTCATGGCCCATTCTCCCTATTGGATTCGACTCGTTTCCATCAACAGGGAAATAGTGATGGGTACATAATTCGATAGATAATATAACATTCAAACAAATATCGCCTAAAATATAGCGTAGTTTCTTGTGAAGTAACATATTTGTATAACAATTTTTCAGATACCTTCACAACAACAAATTGAATAAAATACCACCAGGATCATTTCGTGGCCTGACTAAATTGCATAAATTGCGATTAGATAGCAACGCTCTCATTTGCGACTGTTCAATGAAATGGTTCGTGAAAATGATTAATGAACATGACGATATGGAAATACTTGCCACTTGTTATAGTCCTGCCGACACTACTGGCTCATCATTATCGTCAATGAAACCCGATGACTTCCATTGCTGTACGTATAAAATTATATGAATAACTTTTGATATTTTATATATTTAGGTTGCAACTTATATATTTCATTAGCATGATTATTATACGTAATGCGTATATGTTTTTAGATATTTTGCCTGTGTTACAATATTATTGCCCATTTATTATATTAAATTATTTTATTATACAGAAGCTACTCAATTGTAATATTGAGTTTAAACCCAAGTATAAATTTTTTGAAAATATAGATTATTATTATTTTACGCATATTTACTATTGAAACACTTTCTTCGCTATTTTTTCTTCGTATTCAACGACTCAAAGGCCGCCATGAAGTGATCGCTTTAAGCGATATAACCCCCTTTGCTTAGCCTAGAAATGTAACTGTATTGATAACTTCTCATATTCTTTGTGAGCAATAGAGTGTCAATGATTTATATTTATTTAATTTTCAGATAAACCCGAGATACTGTTGGAACCAACCGATGCAGTTGTTTATTTCGGAGATAACGTTGGTTTCACTTGCGTTGCTACTGGGGATCCGGAACCAGAAATAGTCTGGTACCGTGATTCGGAAGAATTGGAAATATCAGAGACCTCACGCTATGAACTCATGTACAACGGCACACTCATGATACACGATGTAGATGAAAGTTCAGAGGGTGTTTTCGAATGCATGGCAAAAAATTCAATGGGTGAAGCTAAATCGAAACCAGCCCGAATGGTAGTCCAAAATAGAAATACTGACAGTAAGTATTGGCAATGTATAAATAAAGTCATTAAGTAAATTAATTTTTATATGGTATGTACATTACTGCAAGCACTAATTTTACAAAATTATTTACAGCTAAGCTACAATTCACAGCGTTACCAGCAAACAGGACCATCAAATTACCAGAACCCTTTGTCAGTTTTGATTGTGATGCTGTTGGGAAACCGAATCCCCATATTACATGGTTCTTAAACGACAAGAAAATTGTGCTGACTGATAAAATATCTATTAAAAAGAATGGAACAATAGTAATACATAATGTTGAGTTGAATGACAGAGGCAATTATACGTGTTTGGCTGAAAACATACATGGAAAGATAACGGCGTCAGCTGATCTGCAGATATTCAGTGAGATTTGTACCATTTATGTGACAACTAACACAACACTCAATAAGTCTCGGACCTAATTAGTAAAAAAAATGTTTTATCTGTACAAGTAGTAGAATGACTTAATAATTAATTTAAATTTATAAAATTAATAGTTAATCCTTCTTCTGTTACAGTGGCTCCAGCTTTTGTGATTGTTCCAAAAGACATAATTACTTTCTATGGTGACAAAGTGACGTTCACATGTAAAGTTCAAGGTGTGCCGACACCTAGGATTTCCTGGTACAAGGATAATTTTGATTTAACAATTAGCGAAAATGTTTTTCTGGATAATAACAATGAAACTTTGAAAATATTAGAGGTATCAGAGGACGACGAAGGCACATATAGCTGCGAAGCTGAAAATATAGAAGGCATTATCAAAATATCTGCAATACTTAGCATTAGAGAATTTAAGGTGATTACACCGCGCATTGTTTTGAAACCAGAAGATATGGATGCTTATAAAGGAACATCTATCCAAATGCCATGTGAAGTAGAAAGTGAGCCCCCAGCTGTAGTTGAATGGAGCAAAGATGGCTCGCGCATAGGAGAAAATGACAGAATGACGATCTCTTTGATCGGAAGTTTAATAATTAATAATCTCACAGTTACGGATACTGGCCGCTACGAATGTACCGTTTTCAACAATTATGGTAGAGACACTGCTTCCATATTCCTAACAGTGAAAAATCACGATCTACCGAGTGATGAATATGTAAATATTGCTATAGTACAAGCTACAAGAGATGTAGATCAGGCAATTGCTCGAACTGTCGATAATTTATTCAGTAAAGATAGAGGTAAAGGTACGAGAGTGGATATAAATGACCTTTATAGAATAACAAGATTTCCAAATGCACCCGAAAGAGAATTAGCTCGCGCAGCTGAAATATATGAAAGGACACTTGACAAGGTAAAAGAATACACTCAAAACGGTCTTTCAGTTACGTCTGCTGAACCTTTTAATTACGAAGTTGTGTTATCTGCCCAACATTTAGAAATAATTGGAAGGCTGTCGGGTTGTGTAGCCCATAGAGAAAAGAAAGACTGTTCTGATATGTGCTTCCATACCAAATATCGTAGCATTGATGGTAGCTGTAATAATTTTGTACATCCTACATGGGGTGCGTCATTGACCGGTTTTAGAAGAATCCTTTTCGCAATTTACGAAAATGGTTTTAGTCAGCCGTTAGGATGGAATAGAGATAGAAAATATAATGGATTTACACTTCCACCGGCTCGATTAATATCTACAGAAATAATTACTACCACAGAAATATCACAAGATGAAAAATTGACTCATATGGTAATGCAGTGGGGCCAATGGCTTGATCACGATCTAGATCATGCTCTGCCATCAGTGAGTTCTCAAACATGGGATGGTGTTGATTGTAAGAAAACGTGTGACTACGCTGCTCCATGTTTTCCTATTGATGTGCCTGCGGATGATCCTCGTGTGACTAACCGTCGTTGCATTGATTTTATCAGAACTAGTGCAGTTTGTGGATCTGGTATGACTTCAGTACTATTTGGAAAGCTTCAGCCTAGGGAACAAATTAATCAACTTACTTCATACATAGACGCATCACAAGTTTATGGTTTTGATCAACAAGTTGCTGATGATTTACGTGACTACACGAGCGATAGCGGTTTACTTCGTGTGGGCGCAACGTTTCCAGGGAAAAAACCTCTTTTACCAACAACTGGCGTCAATGCTATGGACTGTAGACGGAATCTTGCAGAAAGTACACGTAGCTGCTTTGTAGCTGGTGACATTAGAGCTAACGAACAAATAGGTTTAGCAGCAATGCATACTATTTGGATGAGAGAACATAACCGTATTGCAATTCAACTTAAATCTTTGAATCCTCAATGGGATGGCAACAAAGTTTACCAGGAAGCTAGAAAAGTTGTTGGAGCTGAAATACAATTAATTACTTATGAGCATTGGTTGCCACTTATTCTTGGACAGGAAGGTTTTAAGCAATTGGGAACCTACAGTGGTTATAAATCAGATATAAATCCATCTATTTCCAACGTCTTTGCTACAGCTGCTCTAAGATTTGGACACTCTATGATAAATCCTATTCTACACCGTTATGACGAAAATTTTGAAACGATCCCACAAGGCCATTTAATGTTGCGTGATGCATTCTTTTCTCCGTGGCGACTAGTGGATGAAGGAGGTGTCGATCCACTAATTAGAGGAATGTTTACAACCCCTGCAAAATTAAAAACACCAACACAAAACCTTAACTCTGAACTTACCGAAAAACTCTTCTACAGTTCTCATGCAGTTGCATTAGATTTGGCCGCTATTAATATACAAAGGGGTCGTGACCATGGTATTCCACCCTACACAAAATTCAGGCAATTCTGTAATATGTCTGAAGTAGAAAGTTTTGAGGATTTAGCAAATGAAATTCCGGATAAAACGGTTCGAGGAAAACTTAAGCGTCTTTATGGATCTGTACACAATATTGATGTTTGGGTTGGTGGGATATTAGAAACTCAGGTTGATGGTGGTAAAGTAGGACCTTTGTTTAAATGTCTACTTTTGGAACAATTCCAGCGTCTTCGAGATGGCGACAGATTCTGGTACGAAAATCCAACAATGTTCAAGCAAGAGCAATTGAACGAAATCAAAAAAACAAATTTAGCCCGTATATTATGTGACAATGGAGACTCGATCGATACAATTGGCGAAAATGTGTTTTTGCTCCCGGAAAATCAGGATGGGCTCATTTCCTGTGATGATTTACCATCTATTGATTTTAGATATTGGGTAGAATGCGAAAGTTGCTCTAATGATGACAATCAATTGAAGCGACGACGACGACGAAACAGGAGCGTTGATATGGAAACAATTGAACTTCGAGTTACTGATTCTAACGACGAACGATTTGGTAAATTAGAGAACTCGCAGAAAGGTTTTACTGATACATTAGAAACGCTTAAAAAACGCGTCGAGATGCTCGAGAAAAATTGCAATCGGTATTAGAGCGAGCAAGTAACAGTAAATTTTAATATTAGGTAAATGTCATTTTGAAGTAGGCTTAACTAGCATCCCATTATCCAACAAAATTACTATATATAATTGTCTAATGTAATCAATGTTTCATTACAACCTAAATGGTACTTACAATTTATTAAGTTAGTTATATTATATTACTTAGTGTTAAGAAACAAATAAACCGCCACGCTCCTGTCTTCAGCATATTAACGTATGCCCTATCTTACGTCTTCTGTTTCAGGGTAACAGATATTTATTAATTCATATTAGAAATGTTTAAGATAATAATCTAGTCTTAAAAGGTTTTAGAATTAATTAAAGCCATATAATATACCTATAATATATCGAACTATGAATGTTGTGAAACGCCTCTAACTTTACAATACTTCTGTCTGTCAATTATTATTCTTCGGAGATTTCTATCCTCTAATTTTTCGAGAAATATATGTGTACCAGTGTTGTTCGTTGTTATTGAAGTAGTTATCAATTATACCTTATAAATCATTATAAGTAGGTGTATTATTATACTTATACTAGCATGTAAACTATTTTACGACAACAATACGTATATATAATATAATTAATTATACACTAATTTATATCCTTTTTGTCTATGTAATTTAAAATGTTCCTAAGAAAAATTCAAAATCACATTTAATTAAGGCACTAATTGTGCCGTAATTTAGATTCCCTTTAATGAATTATTTCTATTACTTCATATAAATCTTTTGAATTGTCCAATATTTTCTGCCTGCTATCATACTCTGATTTTTTAACAATATTAACTATAAAATCTTCTGCATTTTAGTATATAAGTAGTAATAAAGTTAATGTATACCTACTCGTTAAATGAGCATGTCAGTATGTGATATATTCAATCTATCCATAGAATAATGGTACGTCTGCGTGATCACAACTTTTAAAACAGCGATATGAAACTAGGTATATAATATTTTGTTTTTATTAGTTGAATACGTAGGTAAACCATATAAAGCTTGACTACCGTACTCAAAGACGTTAATGAATAAAAAGAAATTGCATTAAAAATATTTTTATTTAATTGTATCGAGTACTTATTTCGCCATTAAATAAAAGAATGTCTCTGATTTAGAAACTGACTAAATAAATATACTATCATAAGATAAAAATACAATCCAAATCTAAAGTCTCTATAGCCTGCGGTTTAGACTATTGTTTAACATTATTGTACGGATAGGTTGAATTAATGGAGTCCAAATGGATTTGGCCGTGTACAGGGTAAATTGTTGCTTAGCTCGAACAATCTTAGTCTTTGTTTTAGATAGCCAGTGGCGTAACTACAGGGTGGCAAGTCGGCAAATTTACGCCACTGTAGATTGTAGCAATCTACAGTGGCGTAAAATAATGCTTTATATTGGATATGTGTCATAGTTCGTAAAATAACATAATAATGCTTTTTACTGGATATGTGTAATAGTTCTTCCTTTTAATGAGTTCAAACTGAATGAAGTCAATATTATTAAAACCTTTTTGTGCCAAGACTCTTTGTTTCAGAAAACACGAAGAAAGAGTTAGTTATTCCAGTAACTTTGTCGCTGTATGTTTGATTAAAAACGAAGGGGTTTATTTACAATAGTATCTATAATCTCATAACAACGTTATTAATAATATATTGTTAACGTCATTAATAATAATAATAATAAAGTATTTATTTTGCCAACACACGACACAACCCAGTATAAAACAAACAAGACAATTAACAATTAGTACATACAAGAATTTAAATACTTACTATTTACTCATTTGAACTTATTAAAAACGATAAAACTTTTACTCACACGCGGTATCTGTATAGGAAGTCGACACGAGAGCTAACGTCGTAAGTGATTTATTAAGATTTATACAAAGAAAAATCGAAGAATTTAAATAATTTTGTTATTACAAATGTTCTTCACTCCTTTTTTTAGCTTTGAGGCGTGAGATCTTTTGCTACATGAGGTTGTGGGCTGTAAGTAGTCCACATGGCCCACGCTTTACGCCGCTTCTGAATTGGTTATATAAGTATGAATATTTGATTTGTAAGATAAACTAAGACAAAAACTGGCCCCAAAAATCACCCTAAGTTCGCTCTGCTTAGTCAATTTGTAACTTAACTACTACCAGGGTTGAAGTGAAATCGTTATTTTCCAGGCACAACAATTTACCTTATGCACCTACCATTTCAGTGGTTTGATTGGTAAGATAATGCATTTATTGATGTCTGTGTTAAATGTTGTGTGAATTAATAAAAATATAAAAAGACTATCATTGTTTTACTACACAAATATCCCAGAATATTATTTTATCACCATCCATGTATTTGTCAAAATAGTCAACAACACTTCAGGATATACAAACTTTCTAATTTGATAACTTGATTTTAAACCTTAATACATTAACAGTAGTCGTTAAAATTTGTTAAAGAGACCGACGTAACAGTAAATAATACAGAAATAGTGCTATAACAAAAAATGTTCACCCGATAAGCATATTTTGCTGCGTGAATCGTGATTAAAATTTGAAGTTTGAAACGTGTGACGTGGAACTCTAGTAGACCACTTCACAGCACACTATAACATATGCAGGCCTGAGATCTTAGCAAATGTTGTTATTTCCGAATATCTGATGTAAATTTCTAGCACACAACATCTCTATAAAATCTAAAGGAATGATGTGTTAGCGAAAATAGTTCATTCTGATGAGCATTTCCTGGTAAACTTTAACGCCATTATCTTATAAGTTTTTACATATTTCACTTTGCTGTTCTAGGTAGAATATACTGTTTATTCCAATAATGGAGAAAAGTTTTTGCGCCTGTTGCTCCATACAATTCGAGGACCAATTGCTTTTACCTTTTACTTTTTTGAAAACTGTTGATGACGTTGAGGATCCTACTGTGAAGTGTCATGCAAGTTGCTTAATTGTATGACACTTCACCTTCTTAACGATGACCAACACTGGGACACTATTATAAAAGCATATTTAGTAATAGCTCCGTTCCTTATGTCATGTGTTCAGATCCCTTAAGAATATGAGAAAAGCTGAAATAAAGTGACAGAATAAGATCGCACTCGCAGTAGCATATTCAAGAATTTCTGCTAAATTGCTTAACGGCGGAGAGACGGCACACACAACGTTCAAAATCCTAATTGATTTAAACACCAACCTGTTTTATAACGCGGAATTGTTACAAAGCGAATGTTACAGAATTGGTGTCTATGATTTGGAACGAATGTACCAAGCCAATAAAAAAAAACCCTCGAAACTGTGGACATAATATCAGATACTCGCCGAGATAATCAACCAAAGGGTCATGTCACAAATCTCTTCTCAGGAGGTATTTGTCAAACTCTTCCCGTACTAACAAGAGCAGATGAAATTAACGCCAATTAAAAACCTTTCTCTACCAGTTAGGAAACGAAACTCCGCTAATTATTACTTTGCGGAGAAATATTATAGAAGCATTTTTTTGACCGGCTGTGCTACAGGTGAAATTATGCCGATATCGCGTATACCATTTATCCCACATCAGTACGGATGACGACTAATTTTTGATTGTTTGTCCGTCAGATAGATTATTGAAGAATATTAAATACGTACTTTTTTTGCGTAATCAATAAATCACGACAATACATTGAGTTGAAATGTTGTATGAAACGTCATGTTTTTGTACGTTTTCTACAAAACTGACGCAGTGATCCTCCATTCCTCAACGCTAATGCCTATTATCTTAGCCATTTCATTTCATGTTTAAATTGAAGCAAAAAAATACGTATCTAGTATTTTATTATTATCTGACTGACGAACTAAATAGATTTTTTTTTACCCAGTCTTCATCCCTATTTTCCATTTGAATTCAAACACACTTTACCATGACGATAAATTTGTCAGAAAAAAGGACAGACGCTAAGGACAGAAGTGTTGATGTGAATTTAAGGTCTGATTGTTGTTCACCCGGAGAACTGTACGTAGATTTTTCGCAAGGGTTTTGATTATTTCCCTGAAGGAAAAACAATCAATGTTGTGAACAAAGAGATTCTGTGAATTTTCAAACATTGGTTAACTATTTCATTAAGTTTACGAGGACGAATCGCGGGCATCAGCTAGTTATTAATAATAGGGAATATTGGACAAAGCTTGGCGTAGATGGCAGCACTAGCATGTAGTAAACAAACTTATTCAAACGTTTCGTCTTTTGGAAATTAATGATTCCCTTCATTCTTACATCCAAATAAGCATTGATGTACTATTGGTCAAAATGACATACTTTGTAAAATAAATTCATTAAATATTTAATTCCTATTAATACTATTAAAATTCTTTACTCATAATGTGAATGTGATGTGAATGATGTTTGACGTTTATAAAAAACTGTTTTGTAACTAGTGCTGTAATCTGCAATCTGCAGCAGAACGACTGAAAGTTGCAGCAGGGTCGCCATCAAAAAAGGAAAGGTTATAAATACATGGTTCACTACATCAGTCGAATGACAAGAATTTTTCATTCAAAAAGGGTTGTGTATTCAAAAAGTTTGAATAATACTTTAGACAAATTCCTTATTTAAAGGAGATATTTTAAAATAATAAACTTCTCATAATATAAAGCATGTATATTAAAAATTCATAAGAAATATTTATAACATTAAATTCTATTTGCTAATGGTTTATGTTTAAAGAAAATGATTAAGTAAAATCATAGATCATGCTTTAAAACAGATAAAATACTTAACCAAACATGATAAATTGCATATTATACACCAATATACTTTGTATGCCTTCCTATTGCCAATACTTGTTTTGTATCTTTATTACGAACTTCCACTTCAAGAAAAGCTATCTTTTTACCTGTTTTTCTTGTAACAGCTTCTACTTCAACATTGTCTCCTTCTCTAGCAGCAGTTAGATATCTGTATTTTTTTAAATAGATAAAATATTTGACAAGGACTTTATATTTATTTAGAATAAAGTGATTTATGGCTCTTTTTGTAAAAAAAAATATAAAAGTAATAGATTTAGATTGAGCTAAATGTATGTTATTGTAATATTTCTTGTTGCAATGATAACAATAATGACCATTATTATGACTATTTTTATTTTTTAGCCTAAAGCTAAAAAGAAAACATGGCAGTAGTAGAATTAAAAATAATCTATACTTACGATACACTTAGATCAATAGATACTCCTCTAGTGTCAATATTTTCATTTGCAGTAAGGGCATATGTAGATATGGCATCTACTAAGTGAGCAATGAAACCACCATGCAATGTGCCACGTTGATTGAGATGTTCTGCTCCTACTTTAAATTCAGTGAGCATTCTACCATCACCACAAGTCACCACTTTTACCTGTTAAAAAGAGTAAAGTATTAAGAGGCAACTTAATTTTTTAAGTTATAAATTGCAGAGGTGATCAAGTGGGGACACTCACAGTGGACTCCAGTGCCTGGGGGGCACTTAATTATGATAATATATTTAAAAAAAGAAGATTTCCAACTGTCTTTTGAGTTGTAAATAAGGACCTGACAAATTGTGAAGCAATATGATTCATTTCTGTAAAAGTCAAGGTTGATTCTCTATTTTTGTTAAAAGTGAATACTGAAAATTGAAAGATTTGTCTTTCATAACAAAGATTTGTATACAAAGGTGTTTCTATTTACAGCTGCCTGCACCACTAATTTTAGAAGTGTAGTTATTCCAAATAAATTTATAAAAACATGTTATGACTTAGTATTGGAAATGAAATAAACATGATTTAAATTACCAATTCAAAACTATTTTCTACAGCTGCTTTTAAGGAAGATGATGAAAAACTACATAGATGTGATATGATAAACGAATCAAAACAGTCAGGCATATTCACCTTACGTAGATTACTGTCAAAACATTTTGTGGTTGCAATAACCTTAGAGAACAATTCTGCTACGGCAGCTCCTTTGCTACCCATTTTTCAGTTATATAACAATTTTAATATGTACTTCAAAGTAAATATGTATTTTAATAAATTAAGCCATTATTTATAATAAATAAGTTAGATAAGCACCTTCTTTTTTCTTAAAGTACATATTTCTATAAAATCCCGATTTTTCTATTTCGACAATTCAAGTTTTCTTAAAAGTCTATTCAAATCAGTGCTCACGAGTAAAAGCGAGCAAGTACTCAGTATCGAGTATCGCTTTTGAAAGTAACGATAAGTATTTATATTGAATAACTCTCATTCAAAGAGAACAGTAATATGCCCTCATTATTCAATATAAGTACTCAATACTTGTGATATGAACCAAGGAGGTACATTTCTGATATCGAAGTCGAATGACTCGTTTTTTTCTATGGTTTTTTTGTTTACAGGCATTGCAAATTAATAAATCAAACGCGATGCTTATAAAACATAGACTATGTAGAAAATTTCTCTTTCTCGAGAATACGTAAAAAAATGTATTTGTAGATCGTGCTATTATTGAAGGGAAAGAATAAATCATCATGTGATAAAGTTTGTATCATCGTGAAATTATAGTACAGTCCGCATGCAATAATAGTAGGTTATCGTATAATACATGAAATTATCGTAAATTGATTGAAATTACATGTCAGTTTGAAATTAGGGACAATCAGTATTGATCAAATGTATAATCGGTATTGTAAAGTGCGTATATACAATCAATTTCCATAGTAGTCGATATAACTTCACATAATCGAATATTTTACGGGTTGACAGGTCTGTAAATTGGCACTTATACGGATTCTATTTACTTAACCATGATATAAATCCTGTGTCATATTCAATCGTTGATTTACCGGTTAATATGGTATAATAAATTAATTAAACATTTTCTTGAATAACTACTTTAATATGTTATTACCTAGTAAGAAACTATTTGAAAATTACAGGAACTGAAATTGCTGTAATGTTTTCTTAATTGAGTCAAACTACTTTTATTTTAAATTTAAATATTTGTGACATTTAAATTCTATTTGATTCAATTTTAAATTTATTAAAAGCCTCCCTATTTCATCCATCTATGTTTACAACTGTGAATGACCCGTGCCTGCCATATTATCCAAAAAGAAAAAAAACTGTGAATGTCAAATCACGGTTAGTCAATGTGTCAATGTCAGTAACAGTTTAGTTTATGACAAAGGGATCTTTGCTCATAAAGTCTTGCGTCCGTACTACTAATCAAATTGCCAATGCACATGTCTGCCTTTTGATGACGTAATTGCGTTCAAAATCAGTACTGTTAACAAATAAAAACTGGTTGACGAGTATTCTTATTGAATAGGTTCTGTTGAAATTAGGTTTGTTGGCTGTATAAGCTTGTGCCTCTTAGTCTTTATATAATTAGAAGATTTTTATTTTTGTCAGAGACTAATGCGCGCTATTTTATGTTTTTACGTAATGAAAGATTTTAAATAAAATAAAAGCTCATTCTTCATTTGTAAATGCATTTATTTTAACAAGGTTGTTATTGTTTAGTTTTGTTATTACTTGTAATAGTATTGTTGACTAAAATAACAACTACTATTATGATTTTCAGAATAAGTAAACATAATTTCACCAATAATAAATATATCTAATGTCTCTCATTTCATCATTACTATTGGTAATGTTTAAAAAATGTCTTTTCCGTTTGCTATTGCATATTACAAAGTAAATGTTATTTTTTCGTATTTATTTTATTTTCCATATACCTCAATATTAACATATTTAATCGTTTTCCAAAAATTAATGCAAAAAATTAACAAACTAAAAGTTATTAAATCTTGAGTAATTATTTTTTTTTCTCAAAAAGAGTGTCGTGGGCAAGTTAATCGTGTATTTTCTCATCAATTATTCATTTTAAGTTCAGATCGGATACATTACATAATTATTATTAATTATATTCAATATCTTTTGTGTATGAAAATTAGGTATTATAATACCTGTCACGTCATATCAAGTTTGAGTTCACGTTTTTTATTGTATACTGCAAAAATAGTTATTTAAATATTGATAAAAGATAAAAAAAATATAATTAATAAAATGATGTTTCTATTTATCTTATTTATAATCAATACGATCATAAGATTGAGGTTAAAACGATAAACCATAATATTTTGCAATAGTAGTTTTTAAAATGTTTTGCATTATTGAAAATTATATTAGTTTCAAAGGAAATTGCAATACTTGTATGCAATATTAAAACTGTTAAAAAAGGCAAATCATGCACGCTCGTTACTCAAAAAATCAATCTCTCGTATAGATAGATAGATAAAAAGTTTATTTCTCAGCAACACACAATTACATCACTTACTAAACATTGACACGATAAAAGAAACAAAGAAGAACAAAAATCAGAAATATATTTGTGTGCAGCAGTTGAGAAAAGGGTCTAGACTCGGTGCACTAAAATCTAATGCAGATGAAGCACCGGTTTTCAGCCAGCTCTTAATGAGATAAGCGGGGACAAAATAAATATTTTTTTAATGAATTCAATGAACAGAATCATGAGGATATAATGTCAAAAATGAATAAAATAGAGATATCGGGATATAAAAAAAGGTAGCACGGGAAATCCAATTACAAACATCTGATAAGCATAAGCGTCTTTTGTAGATCTAAGAAATGAGTTTGGGAAAGTCTAAGTTTAAATGTGTGAATTGTAGAAAGACTTCTCAAAGAGGGCGGCAAATCATTCCAACACTTTGTGGCTTGGGACTTGAAGCTACCCCTAAATGCAGCAGTGCGGTGATGGCAACAAACCAGTTCAGGTATTATGGCTCTAATGGTGTACTTGCTGGATGACTTAAAAAATTTAAGCTTCTCGTAAAGATATTCCGGTTGTTGATGCTTTATGACGTTAAACAACAGAAACGCCAGGTATAGTTGCCTACGTGACTCCATACGTAGCATATTTGCTGAATTTTAAATTGGTGTAATGTGAGCCCGAGGAGGCACGCGATTCAAAACCAATCCATTCTCATTGGACAGACAGCGATCGCCTGTAAATCCTTGTTTAATTTCAAAACAGCCTCTCGAGTTAACGCCGGGCACGTAGAGACATACAGTTGCACATCATCTGCATAACAATGATAGTTACATTTTTTTATTACGTTGACCATATCTGCAGTATAAATGATGAACAACAAAGGCCCAAGAATGGAACTCTGGGCACACTACGTGTAACTGCTCTAGGATCTGACATTTCTGTTGAGTGATCTCCGGGGTCTTCGTGTAGCTTAACAGATTGATACCGTGGAAGAAGGTAACTTACAAACCATTTAACTGATAGACATGTGATTCAAGAGACTGAACGGTAGTTATAATTACATAATTGGTTATTTTAACAGACATATGTAATGTCTGTGTAATTAACCAATTCTTCATTGAGATTTTTCTTTCTCTACTAAAAAAAAAACAACACAAGAGCAAATATCACTATAACTATAATAATTTAAATACATAAAAGGACAACACAAAAGCAAATAACACTATAACTACGATATTTAAATACATTAAAGAGAATTTTGCAGCATTTATTTTTATAATTTGATATTATGTTTTTTAATAAATTTGCAAAGACGTAGAAAGCCAGGTTTGTCAGAAATAGTAAGAAGAAAGTTAAGATTAACTGGACGGGGAGTTTTAGGTGGGAGTTGATTATATAAGGACGGATACTTCTGACAATTAAAAAAAAGATAATCAATTAATAGCATAGAATTAATAAGTACTGTTGTACGTAGTACTTATTAATTCTATGATTAATAGTCAGTTATCAAATCTGTTTGTTAACGTCACTATTTACGGTCAGATGACATGTGTCAAAAGGGACCTCTCATCTTATTTTGTGAAGACTATAGTAAATTCATTCGGTTGTTTTGTCTATTGCTCCCATATGGCCATTCGGAATTTCAAGGTGGTCTAACCAATGCTATTATTGGTTCTTATTAACGCATAGGCAAGTATATTACTTTATTCTGAACAGTTATAGCTCGATAACACAGTGCTTAGCGCGCTCGGTCTGCAAATACGGTTGCAAACGGTGGCGTAGCGCAATGGAGGCAGGACACTTTTTAGGGGACGGCAAATTTTCACAGTACACAGTACCTACACACAGTAAAAAAATATTTCTTTTAAATATTTGAACTAATTCATATTTTTATCGCAACTATATATTCGGACCGAATATATAGTTGCGATAAAAATATTATTCTTCGAATTCGTCACAGAATAACTGTGACGAATTCGAAGAATAAATACTCTTTCTTTAAATGATATTTTATAGCGAATGGCAACACCATCTATACTGACTTACGGGGATTCCCCGTATTTCTTTTGTGCTTGGATTATCTATGACTTATAATCAGCAAGAATTACTTCTATAACATATATATTGTATTAACATCAATATTGTTTTGTTAAATATTTATGACCACGCTACGCCACTGGTTGTATAACTTTTGTAATGGCCGGTCATAGGATGGGTGAGCAAGATTTTATTATTTCGAGCTCCTATATGCTTCGGCGGACACGTTCCTGGCTGCATCTGCAGTAATAAATACCCACCAATCTGCACTGAGCTAGCGTGCTAGCATGGCCTAGTCTCTCTATTCGATATTCCCTCAGCACAGGGGATATTAAAGGGCCAGTGATGTGAACGGTTTTTAAAATGTGTAATGGCAAAATTAATTAGCATTAACAGCTGTGATGTTCCAAAATTCACTTCCTCGTAACTCTTAAAAAGGCCAAAACCCGGTTATCAGTAGGACTTTGGATAACTTAACTGTGAATATAATGCAACAAAAATCAAATCCGTATCGAATTAGGGTACTTCTGAAGTTTTGGGAATACTTATAGGCTTACTTTTAATTAAAAAGAAACACCACCGGATATTTTAGATATTTATTATTAACTTAGGCACTAACACAATAACGATGAAAATCAGTGACTCAGCATTACATTGGACGAAAATGAGTAAAAAATATCTTTTTGAGTACTTAATACAATATCCTTACAACTATACTGTAACTGTTATTAAATATAGTGTCAACAACAGAAAAAATCCTTTATTATTATGATAAATCCAGTCTCTTTTGCACTTTGGTTAGCCGGCACGAAGTCTTATTATGCATCCGAAGTATATACCTGAATATAAGAATAAAGGAATGTTAAGTAGAATCTAGTTTATATCACCTACATAGATCTAGCCTAGCCGTTGTTATACAGGGTGTTTGGTAATACATGTATAAACCCGAAACATGGCCATACAACCTAGCACAAAGAACACAATTAATATGTCAAAAAACAATTTCACGTAAATTGAGATTTTCATACAAATATTTGAACAATTTGTTTTTAATTAATATGCTACAACCCTGAAAGCTTATACGTGCCGTCCCGGCGTACTCGCTCTCTCTCATTACCTCTCACTTTCTCTCGTTTCCTAGAACAACAGCTGTTTTTAGGGTTGTCAGCGTACAGTTTTACTTCGAAGAAAAAAGCTAAATATCTAGGTCATGTGCAGGGTTTCAGACTTAGTGATCATTAGTCTGGGTTCTATTCATCATACCGTATGTGCCATATTCGGGATTATACAGGTATTACCAAACACGCTGTATAATTATGTACTGGGGTATGTATACCTTATAAAAATCCGTCCAGTAGTTTCTAAGTACTAAGTAGGTAACTGTTTTCCGTGACTTCGTCCGCATAAAGCCTATGCGCGATTGATGTAGCTTCCCGTAGATAGAAGTATTTTCAAAATCTTCTATTAATATTGCATTGTCCCCATGTATTAAATTACAACAATAAAACCCTAATAAAATATTTTTAAATAAGGAAAAGATTTTTTTGAAAGCATTTAAGAGAACACATCTGCTTATAAAGTGTCAATATGTAGGTCCTAACCTAATCAATCACAAAACAGACAAACTAAATAATAGTTTCGGAATAAAGTGGCTGTGACACGCAGACGCACAAACAGAGAGATATGACGAATCTATAAGAGTTCTAATTTTTTCATTCAAAATCTAAAAATTTTGATGCTAAATATGCGTAAAGATAATTTTATGTGTTCTCCGTTCATTATAACATTAGAAAAAAGAGGATCTCAGAAGCAGCAGTGCAGAACATTTTATTTACAAGATAAATATAAAAAATATTTATAATAGTTTTGTTGAAATTTTTAACTTTAGGCAGTCTGAAAGAGTTGGGCAATTTTACATTTTCTCGGGGTTGAGATGAGACTAGCATTTCCTAAATTTATCTTTTACTGAGAGCCATCATGGAAATAAAAATATCTATCTGTTGTTACAAAAAAAAAACAAAACTATAAGAAAACAACAATAAAACAGTAATTACTCAATCACCGAAAATGGCAAAACAACAAGAAAGGCAGTAGCATTCACAATATATGTCAATCCCAGATTATTAGATATTTTGACTATTATGAATAAATCATAATTTGACAAAATTAAAAAGCTGTACTGCCGAAACGTTTGAAGGGATTAGGCAACGTTTTAAATTTGGTAGTTATAGTGACATGAGAATCGTGCCGAAACTATCTAACCCTGCTTCTTTAAGTTCTTTAAGATGAACACTTTATATTGTCATAATTATTAAATGTTTTAAGTCAGTCAGATACTCATAAATTTGTTTAATATATAGCTTAAAAGACAACGGTTAATTATAGCAGCTGGTATTTAAGTAGATATGTAGCAAATTAGCCGTTAGTCTTAAGAGTAACATGATTGTTGACATTTTGTCACAAAGTATACCATAAAAAGAACCTTATTTTCATTCTGTCTAATGCTATAATGAATGGCGTTATAGTTACCTAAAAGGGGACATGGGGAGTGCGGACGATTTCTGTGCTTATTTACATTAGTCGGTCGTTGTCTGTCATTGGTTTATCGACTAGTACAAGTTCACATACATTGGTCGTTAGGGGCCGCATGAGGAATAGCGGAATGTAGACGATTTCTATGCTTATTTTCATTAGACAATCGTTGACTGTCATTGGTTTCCTGACTAGTGCAAACTCATTTATATTGGTCTATAGTGTAGATATTTCTGTGCTTATTTGCTAGTGATATGAGCTAGTAGAAATCACTGGCACTCTGTATGCGGGTCTCATAAACAATGTTAATATGCCATTATGAAAGACAACAGTTAACTAAAAACCGCTTGCTGGTGAACCCTTTACCTATTGCGTCATCACTTTCAAAGAGTTAAAACCTGCTTCCCTCCCTCCCCCCTCTAACATTTTGAAATAAAAGAGTGGAGACATAAAAAATGCTGTAGACCCCAATGAACATTCTCAACAAAAACTTTTTTGAACGGGATATACTGATCTAGACAATTATAATTATTTACCACCCGCCACCATAAATATCATATTAGCAACAAACAGACCTTCTTCTTCAACTTAAGATTGTTATTATCGATATACTCTTGAAGAGCGAGGTAAATGAACCGGTACTGCTCCTTATTCTGCACCATACCGGCACGCTGCGCACGCACTGCCTTCACTGTGCTATGTACATCGATGTCACAGTTGAAGCCTGCAACAACAATCATAATGTAGAAATCTTAATCTCTATTTTAATTAATATAAATACTCATGGTAATATATGTATAATCGCGAAAAACAGATTTATATAATATGCGCAGCTGTTTCAAACAAAATAGTAATAACCTATTGCAATTGTATATGAAACAGCTGATAATTTTTTTGTGTACACAGTAAACGTTGTTAATTTATCCACCCCACGAAGTCTTCGCACATAATGATATTACAACTTATATATCACTCAACAGACAGGGTTTTAAGACACTTCTAGTACGTCGAAATATCAAAACTTGGATCTTACTATTCCGAAGTGGAATACTAATAAAACTACTTATATGATTTTGCCATTGCTTAATTCATTTGCACGCTCAGTATTAAAACTACATATATGTCAAACAAATTCGCTTATGCATAAAATTTTTAACACAACTCGCAATATAGGTAAATATAAAAAAGATATTAGAGATTTTTAGCATACTTAGATATTACACCACATCGCCGATATCATAAATGACAGTATACCTAATGATTTATCATAGAAACAAGAAAATTTTATGTGCTAGGTAATTCAGATAAGTTTTTTATAACAGTGTATAAAAAAAGAGAAAGTGACATTTTATAATCACCGATCTCTATCGGCAGAGGAACTCCTATGCTCCATTTCGACTGAGTTTTTACTACAGAGCGTAAAATTACTAGCTAGGTTTCGACGTTTCTCCTACGCCCCTAAGGGTCAGTTGCACAAACGTCAATTCAGGTTTAATGACGCCTTTAAGCTCTAATGAATGTGAATGTTGTATCAGTAATGTCGCTTTAAACTAATGACCATTTTTACGGACGTTTGTGCAACTGGCTGTAAGACATCGGCATTTGACTGGCCAGAAAGTTATATTAAATCTCGCGACCGTGCTATTTCATTTATTAGAGAGTATAAGTTCGCATATTCTTCTTGTAAACTAAAGATGTCCTAGAGTACGACCACCTAACTCTTTAGTCATAGGATATAGAACTAGAAATTAAATGGAGAAATCAGTGGAAAAGCATCGATAAATTCTTTAATTACACTCAACGCCCTTCCGAACTGCCTTCCGTCTATCTTTGAATATTTATAAAGGATTATAAAGTCGCCGTAGCTGTCTAGATTAATATTATTCTCACCAGATGTTTTGATTTTGTCAATAAGCATGTCGAGTACGATGAACGTACCAGTTCTTCCCACTCCAGCAGAGCAATGTACGCACAGCGTATTCTAGAAAAGAAACCCAAGGTATAATTATATTAAGTTAATTAAACGTTCAGGAGTTCGATGGTGCATTGATGACGGTGTGCTATGCGGAAGATTTTTTCACAATGGCCGGTCCTAGGATGGGTGACCGAAAATTTATTATCATGAGTTTAAATAAAAATGAATATTAGGGACTAGAAAATCTAAAAATAATTCAAGTTTCGAATCATCGTCATCGTTTCAGCCGAGAGGCGCCTACTGCTGGGCATAGGCCTCGCCCAAAGATCTCCAAAGTGATTGGTCCTGCGTCTCCCACATCCAGTGGCTTCCCACGACCTTCACCAGACCGTCGGTCCACCTTGTGGGGGGCCTACCAACGCTGCGTCTCCCGGTACGCGGTCACCACTCCAGGACCTTACCGCCCCTACAGCCGTCAGTCCTGCGAGCGATGTGCCCTGCCCACTGTCACTTGAGGTTCGCAATTCTTTGGGCTATGTCGGTGACTTTCGTTCTTCTGCGGATCTCATCATTTCTAATTCGATCTCGCAAAGAAACCCCGAACATGGCCCTTTCCATTGGCCTCTGAGCGACCTTGAGCTTCCTTATGAGGCCCATTGTAAGCGGCCACGTCTCGGTTCCGTATGTCATCACTGGCAACACGCACGAATTGAAGACTTTCGTCTTGAGACACTGCGGTAGATGTTCCGAGAATATACTGCGTTTCGAATTTTCGAATCATTGAGCTTGTTTTTTTTATTAATCAATTTAAACATTTTGCCGCGATATATTTCTGATTGGCAAACTTGAAAAGAAGCCGACTCATGTCGCTAAAACAATTTTTACTAAAATGAAATGGGTTTTAGTTGTAGATCAAGCTTGAACTTTTTCGAATTGTGTTTTTGACTCATTTTTGTAAAACAAAGTGTCACTGTTACAGTTTTTACCAGAATAGGTTTTAGCTGGTTTTAACAATTTTAGCAACAATTTCGTCATATGGGATATATATCATTTTACAGTTTACCTGTTCTGGTGGATTTTTATCTTGTTTTATCTGTGACATTCTTCTGTTAATATCATATATGAAATTTAGGACGCCATCTGGTTCCGTAGGTGTACCGTGGTCAGACCATGCCTGAAAATTGAGAAAAAAAAAACACATTTATTTACTTTCCTATTTTAGATTATATTTTTTTGTAAATGTGTTTGAGTGCCTAGTAATTCATTGGACATCATGTATAATAATTAATCTATCTTAGAATCAAGTAAAATAACCATCTCATGATATTACCATAATTTTCCCTTCACACATTCTGAACAGGGGGCCAATTCTACTAAATAAATTTTGTTTAAATCGAAACCGCACGAAACTACAGTTTTTAATGGTTTTCCTATTCTACAAAGTGACATACGATACTATTCCAATTCTATTTTAGCTAGAATTGTATCGGATCTCACTTAGTAGAACAGAAAAAAACTGTAGTTTCGTTCGGTTTCCATCCATTTTCGATTCGATTTAAACAAAATTTATTTAGTAGAATTGGCCCCCTGTTGTGTGTAGGTAGGTTTTTTTTTAAATTTACATTACAGTATTAAACATAGTTAAAATTTTAAAGTTTTACAGCATTTGTAAACCACGAAGGTTAATTTATTACATTTAGAACAATGGTACATACTCTTAATTTACATTTAATACATACATGGTGTGCCTCCATTTCTTAATTCTGTTTCATACTAAGTTGTTTAAAAAGTATGTTTTAAGTTTTGTTTTAATATTTACTAATGTAATATTTTTTCTTAATTCTGAGGGTAATTCGTAGGTCGAGTAACTGACACAAAATAACCTGATATTAACAATATCATTTTATATTTATCAGTTCTCGTAATAGCCGTAGATATTATTAAAAAAAAATCAATCTAAGCTCAGTTTGTAGGACTCCGTAACCGAAAGGTAAAAACTATTACTAAGTCTCCGTCTGTAGGTATGTCATGGTAACAGCTGTCTCGTTAACCGTGATAGCTAGACAATTCAAATTTTCACAGATTATGTATTTTTGTTGGGATTACAACAACAAATATTAAAAACAGAATAAAATAAATATTTGAGCCACGTGAAAAACGTGTTTTGAGTAGGTAGTTTTACGGTTTATACTTAGTTTTTAATAATGGTACGGAACCATTCGCATTAAATGGTCATCATCTAGAGTGTATATTACCGTAAACTGGTACTGATAGAGGGTCCGACAGCAATTCTGGTCGGTGACATCCAACTCTCTGAGCAGGTAGTCCTCATATAAAGTTTCCGATGCGGTTCTCACTAACAGTCCTTTGAATCTCTCCTCTTGACCTACCACTGGCCAGTAACGTTCGCATTTTTTCTAAAAAAATAAATGAAGCTGCTGTTATATACCTAATTTAAAAGTAGCTACCGTTTTTGGCATATTCAGAAAGAACTCAAGGCCACAACACAAACATAATAATAAATAATACTAATAAGTAATAACACAAATACTAATAACTAATGAATTGGTTAATAGATTTTCAAAAAATTGTAGGCATATTTTCAGTCACATTACTTATTTTTCGTGATGACGATGACGAATGATTGGATACAGTAACTTTGCATACGAAACAGAAAAGTCATCCTTTGCTTTCCCAATAACAACTAATCTGTGACTTGAGTTAATTTATCGGTCAGACCATGGAATAAGTCTGACCGATAAATTAATTTGTGACCTAATCAGGCCATAGCGAGGCTCCCAAATGGGGCCCCGTAGCATTTGTAACTTTTGCTACGTAGCTAAATCCGGCACTGTTAGAGAGAATGGGCCATAACCTTCTATGCTGGCCCAATGCGAATTGGAGGGCATTGACGACTGCAAATGCAGCTGGCACCAATGGCTTAAAGTGCCTTTCGAAGAGTAACTTGATATAATACTTTTTTTTGGTAACCCATGCCGTGACCGACAATCGCGAAAGTTGCTTAACAACAAAGATCGCGCTCTGTGGCGCTTATCAACAACGCCACCGACCTAAAAAAAATATTTAAATGTCTAATTAGTACATGAAATCTGCGTTATATAAATTTATGAAAATGTAATTTGGTGAATGTAAACATTATTTAAAAGTGAGATAGCAGGTAACACATATACTCGTACATCACATATTTAAGGCGAAATCGCCAGCTAAGTACGAGTGTTTGTTACAACAAAATTAGATAGTTTATTTATTTTTCCTTTTGTCATAGATTGCACATCACGCGCGGTATTCAGTACAAATAATAAATAAAATGGATACATTAAGTTGATTGTATTTTTGATAAAATCAAATAATAGTTTTTTTATTGCGATTTCATTTTATCTTAATTAGACGCTTGAAATGAGATATGTCTCAACAAGGTGAGCCAGAGGTTATATATCTCCTTTCAACTGTATAATGATTACAATTAAATAAAAAATAAAGCACATGAAAAAAGATGCTTATAAGAGTTGGGACGTCACCAATTGATTTAACTTTAAGCTTATTTATTATTCGTCTTGACTGCGACCATTCTAACACGTATTTTGTAAAAATATGATTGTATACCAAATAGATTCTAAACATTTAATTGAAAGATATAAGTTCAATAGACACAGGGCGAAGATTTATACAGGCTAGCCTATCGGTCCGTAATATTGGAACTCGACGTGCATCAGGACTGCGGAGAGATGGCAAGAAAAATGTAAATATTACTTTATTTTAATATATATAGTATTAATCCATTTATCCAAAGAATTACACAAAATGCTTTGTTACTTTGATGTTAATTATTCTAGAGAATCAATTGATAGTTTTGGAACAACATTATCTTTTAAATTTTGATCACAATAGTTTCATATTATCAGTAAAACCTCACATAGAATAAGAAACTGATTCTTTATTCTGCGGACAGGTTGATTGTAATGTGCGAGACATTTCGATAATTAAAATGTAAGCATTTGTAACCATTGAATTTCTTTTCTGGAACTGGATAAACTTTTTAACAGGTACCCTCGCCGCTTTCTAATTTTCATGGCCACAACTTATTGATAGAGCTATGTTGCAGCTTTATGTAAAACAAACTCGAATCCATCGGTGAGCACAGCGCTTCCTTTATTACCTGTTGCAGTAGGTCTTTATTGAACCTCTATGCTATCACAACGCTGCGCTTGACGGCGTGTTCGAGACTGTTTTATAACAGAATAGTACTACAGTGTACTAAGTGCAGAACATTTAGAAATATAATGCTTTTAATTAATATTCACCTTGCCTTTTTCCGATTCATTAGTGATCATTACAATTATTCTTACGTCTTCTTGCCATATCATACGCCAAAAGTCGTCCTTTGTGTTTGAAAGACAACCTTGCGCTGCTATATATATTTTGTCTTTAACTGGAAATAATTAAGTAACCAATTAAAGTCATATCATAACAAAGAACAAATAATTATTCATAGGTCAATTCAATCAAAGTGGTAGAAATCATTATATATCAAAAATAAATCTGCCTTCTTTCTTACAACACGGTCGAACAAGGGTCAGCCAACAATTTATTGGTGGAATTCTTATCCTTCCTATTCTTATCCTAAAATAAAACAAATAGTGTAGAGTGAGTGAATTTAAATAGAACTCAAAAATCTTTGTTACCATCTGTAATCGATATAGATACAGGACTGATCAAAAAGATTATAATAAACTGCTTACTCGCGACTGGGTGTTAATGGTCCGTATGATTCAATATAGGATACTAACGTACATTCCAATAATGCAAATGGACCCAGTTGAAACTTTCATAATGAATGTTAATACATTGACAAGTTATACCGCGATTCAGACGAACACAGCGCATCTATCGAAAATGAGAGTAAGCAATGTATTTAGTTTTGATATGTTTATTACGACTTCTAAGTTTGGTGCTACAATAATTAATAATAACAAAAAATTATGAAAAACGAACTTATTTAAGTACTGTTGGTCACATGGCCCATGTGGCTCTAACGATTAACTGAAACTCTGATTGGTCCTTGTGAAGCTGACAGAACTGTCTGTTGACAGTGACCAATAAAAATTTATTAGTCCTATACTAACCTGTTTTACGTTAAAGTTATTTCGTCTATTTTTGAAATACTAATACGGTTGCAGTGTTTTCTTTGATTTATAATACAACGGAGCTTGGACCTGACGATTTTTGACTGATGTAAACATAATTTCAACAATATTATAATTACGATTCGAAATCTCCAGAAATTGAAGCCAGCAAATCAGAGATTGATGAAGGAATGAAAGACGAATTTAATATCGGGATAAAGTTCATTTTGGCAGATTAATCAGGGCTTCAGTTATACGTAGTAGAGTCGCTGGTGGTTGTGGTGTCTTCGAATATCTTAATGAATGGAAAAATGGTTGTAGAAAATCACACTGTCGTTTTTGATTTATCTAAATCAAATAAAGTATTCGGATAGAATGGATTTAAGTACGGCCGTACAGAGCAGTACTGTAAATTCTAACTATTTTATATTCTATATATTAGCAAAAGGTCAGTAACTTACCTAGATCACTAACTAAATTTCCATTAATTTTGTCCATTTTTATGCTCATCTTCACCTCCCGAAGTGCATCGTCGGAGAGGGACTTAGAGACCAGCGGTGTTATTTTCTTCGACTCACTCCGAAGAATTAGAGCTTAAAATGACAAAATAATGTATTTATAATAGGATTTTGGAAGAGTACAGTTAATTTTAAAGTAAAAAAATATATTTTCCATTACCAAATAATCTCTTGAATAATTAAAGCACTCATTTTATTTAAAAAAAAATGTTGATTGATATGAAACATAACCCTTTCATACGATAAAAATTAGTATTTGAGGATTTCATAATGTAAATGGAATAGTTTAGGCACTGGTTAAATGTTTTTTTTAAATAGAGACTAAATAAATATCACAGATATAAAAAATATTTAAAATTTATTGCTGTGCTATATATTCATCATCATCTTCATCAGCTCTTTTACGTCCCCACTGCAGGGGCTCAGGCCTTCCTTATGGATGGTTAACGAGGATGGGTGGGCCATGACCCTCCACGCTGGCCCAATGCAGATTGGAGGGTATTAACGACTGCAAATGCAACCGGGACCAACGGCTTAACGTGCCTTTCGAAGCACGAAGTAGCTCGAGATAATAATTGTTTGGTCACCCATCCCGTGACCGACCCTTGCGAAAGTTGCTTAACAACAACGATCGCGGGCCGCGGCGCTTATTCTTTACTCCACCGAGCTACTTACGCTATATATTGACTGATAATAATATTTTTTATAATCATATATCTATATATTATTATTCCACTAAAATAACGAACAATAAAAAGTATTATTAGGTAATTATTATTATAGTAATTCATAATATTTGAAATTTATCAATTAGTAATTGTCTGAATGAATAACCGTGTTGACAAACATAGCGTATATTCTGCTATTGTCTTTAAGCACGAAGATCTATAAATAAAATATAAGTAAGTAATATTTAAGTACACGTGCTGCTCATATAATATTTATTGATTCATATTCCTGTGGCTTATAATTTAAATACGTCGGTACGTTTAATTTGATAAAATATTTTATTGTGGTCATCCTTATTCGTTCGATTTTGATACGATTCCACCCTTAAGGAGTGACAGTGCCCAACAGTGAGTATCATAGGCTGATGAAGAATACTATAAAACACGTTTGGGAATATAATTAAATATAGAAATTTCGATGAATTCAGAACTAATAAATTAAACATAATATTATTATTTTGAGTAGTCTTAAACTCTTTAGTTTTGGATTTTAGACGGATAATGATTTTTGTATTCAGATCCTCTTTTCCAGATTTAATAAAATACATTTAAGATCTATTGTTTCCTTATAATCATCAGTTCCGAAAAATAAAATGACTAATCTTAGCTCCATTATATTGTAACTACGCAGTAGGTACCTAACTAAAATAGTTACAAATAAGTATAGTTCCGTGTGGGAAGCATTTAATTTTAATTAAATGTGTAGTTTAACACCTACGATGTTTACGTTATTACCGATGTAAATTTCAAAAATAAACAATGCCACTAAAAATTATTTAAAAAGTGGAAAATAACTTGAAGATAACAATGTAACAATTCTTTTTGACTCCCACTGCGCTGATTCAAACACAAAATTTTTGGACGATTCAAAAGTGCTTGTATGATATTTTCATTTCATTCGAATTTACATTACTAAGGAAATTATAAAGGATTAGGCAATTCTTAATATCATAAATTATAGTTTAGAAATTCATCTATTGGTTCTTTGCTTACATTTATATCTTGAACAGGGTCAATTTCAATAATAAATTATAGAACGGAATTCGTGTGTAATTTTATGTATAAAAATGTTTTTTATTACATACTTAAGCTTATGGAGAATTTAGTACAATGAAAGAAGTGATATCAAATATTCTACAAAATTGTTTCTACTCAAAATTTAAACAAAAAATGCATATCATATCTCACAGTTCACAGTTTATCGGATTTTTTCATTGACAAAGCGAGAAAAACGTATTGATTAAATGAGTTGACAACGTTGCTACCCAGATCACATGTATTACACATAACAATACACTAAGCAGATTAGCATTATTTCAATAAGATTGTATTACATAGGAATTCAAGGTTATTGCTTATGTTGATATGTAATTTACATGATGGTACACATGTTACATTAACGTTTTTTTTATATTTAAATTTTAGTAGATATAGAATCAGATTTATTATTTGCACTTAGAATATGAACCGGGCACTCGCGAGCACCTATGTTAGTGGGTAAGAAAAGTATATTTTCTATGTGGATCTTTTTCTACTAGGTTTCCTTCCTAAAGGAAACCACAACAACAAAGTATCTAAATATACCGTCTACTCCAACTCACGTCGAGTATAGCCCCGCCTCAGAATATAAATGAAATAAAACCTTTATTACCTTTTTAAGAAGATTCATTATTGAGTTCGAAGATAATTTGATTACAGAATAACACTGCATATTTGGATAGCATAATATATTATAATAAACTCACAATGGACACTGTTAAGACTTTCGTTTGAGGATTGCACCGAGCTGCTGGAGTCGTACAGCCGAGGGGGTCGGATGTAATTCGCGTTTATATAGTCTGAATCTTCTTTGTCTCGTTGCCGAAGTATAACACGAGTCTGATCATCTGTAAATATCAAAAATAATATTTCTTTGTTAAAGTATCGCTTAATAAATATATATTTTTAATTAAGTAATTAGGACATTAACTTATATAACCTTAACCTAACTGGTTAGCATCGAGTTGATAGATACCGTTGTGTCAATGGAATACTTACTGTATTTTCTTAGGCTGCGTGCTAATAACGCTTAGGCGAGATATTACATGGTTGTCACCAATGATAGAATGAAAGTCTACATAATGGGATGGGGCGGAACGGACATGATAGCCCAAATCTAATGGGACAAGTCATATGACCGCGCATCGCCTGTCGACTGTCGTACGTAGTGACGACTTGTATCTGTCCGACAAGATACCTGTCGGTTACTCACAGCCTCAAGCAAATAAGGCCTCAGTTTTATAACTTACACGGCAATATGTTCCTGTATCTGTTTTTGTGCATGTTTTCTGGTCGTAGGCCCTCGTTGGTGGTGAACACGTGTCTCTCTTCAAGGATTTTCAATTTAAGGAACTCGCTATCGAAGCCAGCTTTGTGTTCCAACTTTTGACAATCATTAACCTCCTAAAACAATTTTAACATTAGTAGTAAAGCCAGTGACACTGATTTATTTTATATTATACTTATGTAGAAAATTCTATAGGCACATTGAATAAATTCTTCAAGCTGAACACAAATACTAAGGTAATCTTTGCTATTCTATAGTAAAAAAGCCTTAAACTCGATTTCGAGCACTGCCTGGTCTAAACATAGGTATTTAGTGAATTAAATCCTTATTTATCTATTGAAATAGGTTTTATTTTTTTTTAATATCTGTGTTCTGACAACTATTGCTCGCAGTTATAATACAGAATATAATATAACAATCAAATCAAGCGAGTAAAGTAAGATGAGACTCTTGCTTTTTTAACATGATATTTATTCATTTCATTAGTTAAAAAAAAACAATAAAATGTGGACAGTAACTACAATTTTTATTTATTTTTATTTTTATTTCTTTCGTTCTCTAGGGTTGTGCATGCAGTGGACCATGGAGAATTTAACCACTTCGTTTATTGACTATTTGCATCTTGTGGTCTAATAAAAAATAAAATAAATCGATTAATAATTAGATCGAACATGTTACCAGCAACGTGACACGGTTCGCTCTCAGGAGCCTATAATGGCGCGTAATGTTTTATTCAACTCCTCGTAACAGAAATACATACAAATAACTCGTCTCGTTTATCATACTGATGGGTTAATTAAATTCACCATTGCTATTCATGACAAAATACCAAGCTTGAGAAAAAAAATTGTTATGAAAAATCTGTCGAATAAAATCGGGTCTTACGTAAATCCAAATTACGAGTATGTTTACGTTGGCATTAAGTTCTTTTTTTCATAATTTAATTTATTTCAAAAAACCTTGCCAAACTATCTCGACTTTAATTTTATCAGATTTTCTTGAGTGAAAGTTTTTATAATGTTTAGCTTTATTTGTTATTCGTTAGTTAATATTCTAGAGTGGGCACCAGCATCATGTGCCGAAGGCCAAAGCGCCTGTTCTCTTCTGGATGAATACTTAACTTAGAATTGTTACCACCACGACACCATGTTATTCCAAGTGGCCTTATTTTTGTGACCCAGGGGTACTCTCTACCGCTAACGGACTTGCTGTGTGGGGTGACCACTGAGTAGGTCAGTGCTGGGCAAGGCTAGGAATACCCACAAAGAACCTTGTTTGCTCTCAGGTAGGAGTGTACCGTCCTTTATTCTAATCCCATTGATAATGTATGAGAAATTGCTAATAACTAACCTGCATCTCTTGTACTTTTTTTTCCAGGTCATGTGTACGGAGGCGGGTCCCACTGACGGGCTGCAGCAGCCTCAACACGTCACCTGACGTCTCGATCATGGGATAGGATCGGAAGTGTTCGATCAAACCCACAAGATCGTCGAACTGCTCACCGCTGCCGACGTCGTACTTGTTGTGCTGTAAAATTAGTCTCGTAAACACGTGACTCTACCGCGGTCTAGGATTTACAAATAAATCTGTAAGCCTGGCAGATCATTAAGGGCTTCATTTTGAGAGAAATCTTAAGAAACAGGTCTTAGTCTATAGTAAATAATTAATAGCCGAACTATATGTTACGAACGAATAGAGGAACATTATAGATATGCTATCAAAGAATACGTTTATATTTTTCTTTAATGTTTTTATTTACATATTTAATAAATGCATTTTTTTATGGGAAATATTTTGAAGTCAATAACATTTTATAGGTTACATAGTTTTATTTGTGAAATTAAAATTTTGTAATGTATAATATAAAATTACGTACTTTACGTTACAATCGGAGTCATAATGTTTCCTAAAAGAAAATTGATCTATTATGCTATAAATGAAATAGGTAAGGTAGTGTTTTGTATGTTTCTCCATAGAATCACTGATTACTGATAAGTTACTACGTAAATAGATTTCACACCACAGTAGATAGTACTATATAGGAGTACTTACTACCGTATGATTGCGCGTATGTGTATGTGGAAATATATATTCATTTTCATCGAATTATTATTAATGCATGGACAGCCGAGAAATTATAAGGCGTTAAGGCCACTAATTCATAGAAGAGTTTTTTTTTATTATATAAAGAAAAGGCATTGCGCATTTTATATTTAGTAACCTTGAGTTCGCAATGACGTATCATTTACAAAAAAAGTCACATTAAATTTACTCTTAATATATAAATGAAATTTTTTATCTCTATAATTACTGTTATAAATGCGAAATTAACAAAATATAATATTTACGTCAAAAGTTATTGAGCAAGACGATCGTAATTACAAAAACACTTACCCTATTTATCGAATAGATTATTATTTCAAATAAGTATATATCGTTATATTGACGCCGAATATATTTTGTGACTGCCAATAGAATTGTACTAATCTAGGATAAACTTTATCTTATGAAATTGGATTAGTAATTTTTCCTATCAAAGTACAATATAATCTGTCAGTCGACACGTCACAGGTGATCATATACCTATAAACTAATAATATGACTTTACGCACATTTTTATAGTTTCATTGCCATGCATTCATTTCATTTTAATTTTAAATGTAAAAATATGTTATTCACCTGACATTGGCAGAATTGTGCGAAACGCGCAGATAAGCCATTATTAAAAGAAGAAGAAGAAACTAATAATATGACGATATTTGCATTGAATGGGCTCCGAAACTACTGGATCGATTTTAAAAATTCTTTCACTTACATAGTTTGGTTGCTACATCTTTTTTTTACATACTTTTTTTATCATACATGGTTGAAAAGAAATCTGTTGGCAATGAACGATTAATTAATTTATTTATCTTTCTGTTTAGAATACTAAAACTACTCGTATTTCCGTACCTATTTGTTTAAACATATTGTGATGGTTGTAAGATTTAACCGGCTAATCTACCGATTAATAATGATATATATTTGGTTTGGTAGCATCAACTGCTGAGATAGTATAGTTAACTAGATATACTATAGTTGACTAGATCTATTTTTTAATTCGTAAGGTGTCAATTATATTTTTTTAACTTCTGGTTCCGATGATTGTACTGAAGGCATAATGGTAGGTAGAAAGTATTTTCAGTAAAGAACGAAGTGTCGTTATTTAGATTCTCTATCACTTTAGGCTCAACCGTATCTTATGTTCCTTTGGAAGACGGGATTCTTGATAGTGTTTTAAGAAGATCACAAAACCCACAAAATATGCAGTAGTTAGACAACTAATTAGTTGGGATTATATTCATACATATTAATTGTGATTTATTAACAATAATTATTTCAAGCATTATGTTAAATCCAAACTTTCCTTATGAATTACTCGATATGTGAAAAAAGAAATGAAGATATATCCTTCGAGTTAATAGTTGGCAAACAAATAGTCTGATCATGCCTGTTGTTTATTGATATCAAATACCTACTAGCTCAATGACAAAGTTTTAATACCGACATTATTCCAAAGTCCCGCAGGCTCGAGGCTGCGGCGTGCCTGCGGTCACGTCGCGTCGTCCTCGCCTTGAATCCTTTTTTTAAACGACGCCGTCATAACAGCTTTTAATGTTTCTTTGTGACGCTCTTACATGTTCACTTACGTTAGTGACACTAGTTACTATTCCAAACACGAACGTTTAACGATTTGTTTACTGTTTTTGCGGACAATTTGTGAGGTACCTCCCCGAGTAGACTAAAATTTGTGCGTGAGCAAATGTGAGCTAAATTTTAGCTTCCTTTACCTTCTAACAAAAATATAACTAACGATATGTTACTTAGATAGATAGATGTTAGTTTTACAAAGAAAATTCGCTTATTAGTATGTTAAATAATATTATTTCAAACAAAATTACCTGTTAATTCTAATCTTTACTAAGATTATAAAGATGTTTGTTTGTGGTGCGTAATCTTCGGAAATACTGGTCCTTCCACCTATGGTGTATGATGTAGCTTCCCGTTGTGAATACGTGTGACATGGATATTATAATTTACGTGGGAAAAGTCGCAAGAGACATATTAATGAATATAAGTAAACGCATATCACCTAATTATCATTTTATAACTGTTCATCAAATTTAAAAATTAATTTTTGGGTCTTTAATTTTTTTTTATTTTTTTTGCTGAATAAGAGAGTATTTAAGAAAGTTGATTAAAATGTAATTCTGTTATGTTACACACATACACACACACACACACACACACACACACACACACACACACACACACACACACACACTTTTGTAAATCTGTTATTGGCCTTACTTATGTAATTATGTGTATGTAAATACCTTTGTAATGCTATTGGTTTCAAATAATTAAATAAAGTTAAGGAAACAAATTCCAATAACGAATTTATATTTCAATCTACCACGATCTAAATAATTATTTGAAAGAGCATAAAAATGATAAAAAGAAATGGGAAAACAAAACGAAATCCGCAGGTCTAATTAGAAGGGCGACAAAACTAAAAATATTTTTCTCAATAAATTAGGTATATGTTTTAATTCTAAGTTAATATGCTAGTCAAGCCGAAGTAACAAAGTTACCTCTACCAATAACATTCAGCCATTTTTTCCCTTATTCATATATATATATTTTTTTACCTATATAGTAAATTCGCAAATTTTTATTTTTTATTATTATAGTATAAAATACAATATTATTATTTGAAATTAGTAAAGCGAAACCGTATAAACGATTTGACTGCCGGATTATGAGCTTTATTGGCGCATAGGACTAATAATGAGGTTATTTCTTAATTTTGTGCAAAACATATTTTCGTCTAATATTAGCGGGAAAACTGTTTAGTACATAGGGCAGGCGTTTTTTTATTGTTCTATCTCCATAAAAAATATTTACCTTAGGCACCTCATATTTGCCCGCAGACACCGACCGTGTTACTAATTTATGATTTAACATATATAAATCATGCTCTCCACTGTGGTGATTAGTTGCTAATAAAAAGTATTTATGTTTCAAACCAGCCGAATATGTGAGTCATTTTATAATGTAAAAACTTTAATGGGTTTACGTAGTTAATTTATAGTTTTTGAGATTTCATTTCGGGCAACATTCTTATTCTCTATCCTATTTATTTCATTGACTGACATGTATATTTACTTTCATTTGAAGTTTGTCTTTATGTGCTACCTTAGTAAGGTAGATCACGACGCATTGCGCGAAATTAACCGCCATTTTTTTTCATAATAATTTTCGCTCTCCATAGCTGTGTGGTTGGCACGCCGTTTTCAAGGTGTCGCCATGTCTAAGGAGGGGTTATATTCCCGGTTGGTTCTATGTAGAAAATTTATTTTTGTGTATTGTCTCCGATCTGGGTGTTGTGGTACCATGTTTGTTTTATATAGTCCACAATATGTGGCTTTAGCTACATACTCATGTTGAAAGAGAAATATATGTAAACAGCATCATATTTTTATTTCTATAATATTTATATCTCCTAAACCAGTTATTATAATATTATTACGGTTATTGCAAACCGCTTATTATTTAATGTTTGCTACAAGGTGATTCACGATTTTATATTATAAAATAAATAAATACATAATTATGAGAATAAATTGCATAGCTGTCGTTAAATTTATTTTCAGTTTTAATAAAAAAATATAAGTTCACCTTTGTAGTTTGATTATTTAACTTAGATTATATTTTGTTTTTCTTTTGTAATATTTAATTAGGATTTTGTTTCAATATAAAATTAGCGATATAATAATATTAATAAAATATATAGCATAGTAGCAAAACGATTTCTTTATTTGGTGTGATTGCTATGGAATTTCCTATATATATTTATTATTAATCGGTGCAACACATAAAGAGAGTAAAAAACCAGTTATTTTGTAAATTGTTATCCTCATTTATATTTATTATTCATATTATTTTGGATAATAGAAAACATAACATTATATTTTGTAATTACAAAAATCATTTTTAACCGTTCGAGTCAGTATGTATCACGTATATAACAAACCAATCTTATTTACATTTTCCCAGGCCGTAACTGATTATTATTGATCAGAGTTAATTACTCTTACAATTAGTAATACAGATAGGTACTCCGATAATTACAATCTACTTGTACTTGACATGCGAAATATCTTTGTGCGTGTCACGTGAAATGAATAATCGAGTTTTCGTTTAAAATTTCCATGAGAAACACAATCATTTATTTATGACATTAAGAATTTAGATCCCATCAAATATTTAATTCAAGTTTAGTTGTCAACGAGTGATATATAACTTTTTTATTAGCAAAAAATTATGATTTCGAGTAAAATGAATATAAGCTTACCTTGGACATTTACACTGTAATTAAAACATAGTTTTTTTAATTAAGAACCCTCACTTTGTTTTGAAATGTACTTCCAACTGAATATGACAGGTCAATACGGCGCAGCAGCACTAGCCCATCTCTTTTGCAC